CCTATAGCGTTTTGTAATCATGACAAATATAATTGTTCAAACCGTCGTCCTATTTAGTTTATTTTATTTATTTCCAATATTAATGATGGTAAAAATAAAGTTCAAGTTAAATTGTTCCTAACAAATTCGCTCCTTAATTTTTCGATGCAGATCGATAGTGATAATTATTTATCAAATATTTTTCTATTAAATTGAGCTTTGTTTTTCGACACTTAGTACCACCTAAATGAAACATTATTTGGTTTTTGCATAAACCGGCATAAACGTAAAAAAATATTGTATGCAACTCGTGCAAATAGTGTTTATTGCACGCGATGTTGAATTGTCAAAGGATGCAATGAGGCAATAGATAATAATGATTATTTCCCTTATCATGAAATAGACCAATCAGACACCACCATTTTGCGAGCGAAATCTGATTAGATAAGTGATTGAAGCACAAGACCTGTTTAACCGCGGATAATTTTTTGTTTTTCATTTTTTCGATTTTCACTGATACTTTCTATTATTGTCCTAATATTGATTCTCATATTCTCATCAATAAAAACTTAATTTCAGATAGATTTCTCCAACAAATAATTTGACATAAGGCGATGACAACACGTCAGAATTTGAAATATTTACATGCACTTTGCTATGAATGACGAGATTAATGCTTCTTAGATGCATTACGGATGCATTGTTTCGGATGCGTAACCAAGGTAATAGAAACACGAATATTATCTATCCACTGAGTGTCATTCTAGAGAATCGTTTGATTGAACGATTTAGTGAAAATGATGAATTTACGTTTTAGTAATATTTCGTGTGATTGTATGGATCTGGCAATTCATAAAAGTTTGCCAACTAATACTGTAAAGTGAATCTGGAAATAATCTAGCCGTATACCCTCGACCAACAAATTATCGAAACTTTTTTTGCATGATTTTGCTTCTTGGCAAATTGTTTCATGCACAATATAAATTGATCAATTTATTATCGTGCATTTTTCAAGAAAAATCATGCTCAAAATTCAAAATATTTCGATAGTTTAATCGCTTATATTCATAGGTATTGGGATATAATATATGAATAAAACTATTTCCATTTTCATGATATATTTAAATTTAGTGAAATTATATTTCTCAACCCAATTCTTTTAACTAAGAATAAGTCGAGGAATGAGTACTTATGGAATGTTTAGTAGAATAATAGGGCTGATGTCAATTTCACATAGGTACCTAATATGAATGAACTGGAAAAGAATACATTAACGAACACCTACATATTCAAAATAGTGACGGGATTGTGCTAATACCTCAGGGAGTTCCAGAGACATACGATTTTTATTATTATGAATCGAGGTTCTTATAATGAAACCTGCTGTGTGGGAAGAAAAATAATATGATTGGTAGAAATAGGCCAACGCCGCCTATGTGTCGGCATAGTATTCATAGGGAAAGGCGCCGCCACCCGCCACACGACCGATTTTTTTGCTGGAGCTGTTTTCAACATTCTGTAAACTTTGCGTTGAAAAAGTTTAGGCACCGTATAGAGTAGTACAAGTATAAGACCTCGATATAGACTATTGAATAGAATCACTTGCATTGGGGACATTGCGATCTCAATTGCAGTAGTCGACCGAGAATTTTTTTTCATGATTAAAAAATCATCAAAACAAATCAACAAATAAGTACACAATTATTTTTATTAATCACTGATTCAATATTCGTTTCTCAATATATGCAATTATTATCAATTGATTTCAATAATCTCTCTAATTATGTTTTCGAAAATTCATCTGACTTCCAAAGACTGCCAATGACTACCAGTGACTACCAATGACTACCAGTGACTACCAATGACTTCCAGTGACTACCAATGACTTCCAGTGACTACCAGTGACTACCAATGACTACCAATGACTACCAATGACTACCAATGACTACCAATGACTACCAATGACTACCAGTGACTACCAGTGACTACCAATGACTACCAGCGTAGTGTACACCAGACTTCCAAGGAAATTTACCCCTCGGGTGAAACATTCATTTTACTCGATTTTTTGGGATTTTCTCTCCTCGTTTCTTTGGACGGTTCGGCAACGAATCTGCTCCCGTTCTCAACATGAAAATGCAACTTCCGAAGAAAAATGTTTTGCATTTTTATGTTGGGAACGGGAGCAGATTCGTTCCCGAAACGTCCAGACGAACGAGGAGAGAAAATCTAGAAAAATCAAGTAAAATGAATTTATCGAAGAAATCAGAAAGTACTCACGGTAAAATAATGTTGTTACTGTGACAATATTCTGGTTAATATAGGCACAACCAGATACACATTGTTGCTGTCACCATATCAAATGGTAACTATAACGATAATCTGGCTATAGTAATAATAAAAAATGGTTAGTGTCACAAGATATCTGGTTGTGACTATACTAACCAGATGATTTTTTTCTGTGCTACGACAAGGAAATAGACGTTATCAAATGAATCAAAACGTTTTAATGAGTCGTAATATGTGATTCCAAAAGTGACAAAAACTCATCTGATTCATACACATATAAAGAACAAAGTGAAATTACAGAAGATAACTCCCCTGACTTTGTAAATGCATCAGATATGACCCAGATTCAAAAATCGAAATTTTTTTGAGATATTTATCAAGATATGAGAGATATTCCAGATTATGAACAACTCAAAAATATGGATGTCAAGGCTTACAAGGATATGATACCAAACAAACTTTTTTAAATTAGTTGCCTTATACACGATAAAGTTGATTCAGTTGATTCAAAGGTATTCAGTATCACAGTATCTGATGTCAAGGTATAATACTCGCTAATTCGAAATTCAAAAAACTCACACCGAAACACGTTGGTTTGGGAATAATGATTCATCGAGAGACATGATGGCAAAAAATTATCGTAGCTTTGTGTTCTTGTGGACACTGTATCGTATATTTACGTGTATTTACAACTTCGCAATTCGATCAAATAATGTTTTTTTCAAGTTTCCACATGGATATCTTATTTTTATTTCAATAATATATGCATCATGTTTTGTTTCAATATTTGTCAATTTGTTAATAAATGAGATGGTTGACATTTTACTCTGATGGATAATAAATGTACTTTCGAGATAGAATCATTCATAAAATAAATGGAGGGCACTTCCAATCAAACAGCAAGTTAAAATAAATTTCTGTTAACTTGGAAAATAGCGATCAATTCCATTTCTCCCGTGAATTCCAAGATCGTACTGTACTGTAACACTCAGTATTTCATATTTACGGTGATCGTACTAGGACGGCTGCGGGCGTTGCGGGGAGAATCGGGGTATGAAAGCGGCGAGTCGCCGTCCTTCGTACTACCTGCATTGGATTATGATTTTCCCAATATCTTCCTTATTTATGCTTCGATTTTCAAAATCGAAGAACCATTCGCATCTTGAAACATAGGCGCATCGACATTATTTCGAGTATTTTTTTGATAAACGTTATAGTTACTGAGATAATGCGAGGTATATGAAAAACAATTTAACGAGAATTTACAAGTTTTGAGTTATGGGCGTTTGAAATATGATTTTCTCATATATCGTAACGTAATTAGTGAATTTCACAATTTTCTATAATTTGTTCTACCTGTCACACGAAATCAAGATTCGACAGGGTGGAAGTTCTGGAACCCATCAATATTTTCCATGAATAAAAAAAAAATCCATATTTTTTTATAAATTACCCCCTACCCCCCAAACGCACAGGACGATTTTTTGACGACAAGTGGATCCATGATCTGGAGATGGTAGGTAACAATTCTAGCCATGTCACAGCTTTTTACCTCCGATTTCCCACCAACTTTTGATCTAAGCGACTTACGGTTCGTTTGGCACTCTACTATAAAGAGTGAGCAATGAGCCGCACAAAATAACAAATTCAGCGCTCTCGCTCTAGACTTCCCATTTCGAAACCATTCAATATTTTCAGAATTTTTTCGATTCATGCTCTAGCCAAAGGACCAAGCTAGGTTGAATACTATCTCATTTTTCGAAATTTTTAAAGAAAGAGTGGAAAAAACGTTCTCGAAAAGTGCTCAAAATTAGTCAATTTGGCAAATAAAAAAAATACGTGTACATGAAATAACCAATTTCCAAATAGTATCCAACCTAGATCTATCTGTCAACAAACCACACAAAAAAAGCAGCTCGAAATAACGATTGATGTCTATACACGACGTCAAGAGCCGTTGCTCTACATTCTCACAAATACGCACGATTTGGTCGATGATATTTGCGCCTACGTAAATCACCCTGTATAATATAACAGAAAAGTTAACTTTAACTGACGATACAGTTGAGATTTGAGAAAATAATGATTAAAGCCTACTCATAGTATCTGATGAGTCATTTCGTTTGCTTCTTGGTTTTTCAAGATCGGATTTTCAAAAGCAGCGCTATGGCTTGAGGCTTTTAAAATCCTAATTTTTCCACACCTCTCGACCAATGAAGAGTGTCGTAAATCTTCATAACATATGTAAACGTAATGGATATAACCAATGATATAACACAATCAAGGTGTTATCAAGTTAGATTCTATGACCGGATTACCCGATGAATATAGGTAGAATACATTTCGCTAGGAATCTGCTAGGCAGATTATTGGCAATATAAATAAATATTCGGACGCGGTAATCACCCCGACTAATTGACGAACCGGGTGAGTTGTCCTTTTCTAAAAAGGATGCTTGTTGATTTATGACTGTTTTGTAACCGCCCACTGCTATCTCTTCCTAACCCCCCCGGACCTCAGGTATAGGCGAGAATTGTCGCGTTTCTCAACCAATTCAGAATTTTTTTCCACGTCCTGCATGATCATTTATCATACATCCAAAAAATAACGTGAGTACCAAAAAATTTTTTTCGAAAAAAAAACCATCTCATGATAAATGCAGTATTGCCAAACACTTTGTTGATAATATCGAAAAGTCAACAATTCTTCGACTGTTGTCGATAGTTTTCAGAGAGAGACTCGGAGAGAGAGAGTAGTTTCGAAGAATATTTTTCACTCGATTTTTCAGTTCATGTGGTAGAATACAGGATGCAGTCGCAGAGTAGGTATAAATAAATGAAGTGCGTCAACGAATGATTTCGCTCGGAATCACGCGTAGCATCGCGTAGGCAGGCATTCATCGTTGTTTACCTTCCATCCAGCAGAGCTATTACTATCCCCTTTATCTTTGAAGTAAGGCACATTCTGCACCATCCACTCGTAAATCTGCGACAGCGTCAACCGCTGATCCGGCGATGTCTTGATAGCCTGCGTGATCAGATCCGCATAGCTCAGGTTGCCCCACGCGTTCCTCCGACTGGAGTTCTTCTTTGCCGGCACCGCCGCCGCGGGTGCGGGACACTTGTTGCCCGCCTCCTCTGGCGGGTCCACATAGTTTTCAGGCCGCGGCAGAGGCCACGTGTTGGACCGAGCGCGCGTTTGCGGTTCGAACACGTCGTGGTGTTCCGCCAGGGGCTCCATCATGTCCAGGCTCATTTTCTGGACGGGCCACACGCCGTACTGCCCGTTCATATAAGACGCCCTGTAGTCCGACACTCTGTAGACGAAAGATAGCACTGCGCGACGCGAGCAGGTAGGTATTCCGCGGGCTAAATTTATAAATTTGCGACGCAATTTCACTGTACACGGTCCACCAGTCAGCGTTCACTGTCAACTGTCATCGACGCGCACTATGATCAATCGGTTTGTGATCACTTTGAATCATTCACTGCACTCGGTTTTTAGCCTACCCTGATTCGGGGAGAAATATGTGGCATAGTTGTTACGTACGTAGTTGCGCGAACGGGTAAGTGTGGAGCCGCGACAGAACAGCACTGCGGAATAGCCGAGCTGTGTCTGTGTTGTGAATTTTCGCCCTACTCAAAGTCCGCGCGTTGGAGGACATGCCTACTTGCGCTTGCGCTGTAAATGGCGCCACGCACGCACACTTGATTGTGTAATTGCAGCACACGCATCGCGGAATATACGGGATTGCTGCTGTACTATTACCTGCTGGGTGATTATTAGGTGGCGAGTGAATGAAGAGGTTCTCAGTTTATCACTTTCGCTTCTCGCTTCTTAGTAATGGTCTCGAGTATTCGGAACTTGGAAGACGGATTCCGCATCGAGCTTTAGATTCTTTCCTATGTATTACCGTTGATTGATATATTACGCTTACGCTGGGTAAGCGTAATATATCAATCAGCGTAAGCGTAATATATCAATCAACGGTAATACCACAAGCAGTGCCGGATTTATACTCCATTACGCCGGGGGCTAACTTTTACGATGCCGCCGCGCCGCCGCCAAATATTTAATTTTCAATTGTCAGTTTCAAAATTCAAATAATCCTTTCACTGCTTTTTTTACAGCATATAACAATAACATGAAATCATTATGTACAAGGAATCAAATTATATTTACTTCACACGTTGAACATAACAAACAACAAATATTTTTTTCAGATGATTACTAAAATACTTTTCTTGATTTTTTTTGATGCAAAGTCGTCAATGGCATCATCAAAATTCAGATTTATTAACATGTCACCGTTAATACTTGAAATTGATAAGATATTCAATATATCCTCTACCATGGAATTCCTAAGGTAGTTTTTCACTCTTTTTAAAGTTGAGAATGACCTTTCACCACTGGCATTACTAATCATCAGGGATAGTAAAAAAAATCGCAGTAATTGCCAATATTCAATGAATTAGGAATTTTGTTTTTTGTTATTGAGTTTGACGAGTACAATGCGGTTTTTCTTCTCATCATCACATAAAAGTATGTACCGCCGCCGCTTTTGTATTGTAGCGTCATAGACCTAAATATATTTAGATCTATGGTAGCGTCCAAGACACAGCTGACGCTAGATTAGTGCATGTTATGATTTTCACAAAAACAGTATCTCAACCAGTCAACGACTGTATTTATTGCTGCTTGCTTTTCTCCTCTTTTCTTTTTCTCTACCGCCTCTTGAAATTCACCGCCGGAGACGGCACTGACCACAAGTGATACTATCTTGCCGTAAATAATAATATTCTTTTTACTAACTTCGACTGAGATTAACCAAGATTCTCAGTGCAGCTCCATAGCTCAGTTGTATTGTATAACACTTATAGAAATGATTGATTATAATTCATTTTAATCTGCTAGTAGATATTTCTTTTTTTTGTTTTTTAGTAATTTAACATAAAAATGTATGATGAGAGAATGGCCCACATTACAAGCTTAGCTTAGGTGGCTTCTCTCATCAAAAATTATTGTTAAAATCTAATTGAATAAACTTACTTACTTACTTTTACTTACTTACTATTACATCACACGTTGAGAACAATAGTGTGACAACTCAAGAAAGTTGATTTTTGAGTTAGAACCACCGTCGGATAGCAAATTTCGAGCTCTACAGTTCTAGAATATCGTGACATCTCTAGGTCCAATAGCTGCTGCGTGACATCGCTGGTCACGTTATTGCACTAGAGAAGTAGTTACTACAGCCGAGCAAGAAAGTGGCTTTTTGCGTTGTCACCTAAACTTCGCAGGACACGCCTCGTATTCTGACTTTGAGGAAATTTTTATGATAAATAATGTGACGAGTCAATAAGTCACCTTGTTGTTGAGTTGTCACGTTATTACATATCCATCATTGGATGAAATGATGAAAAAAATGCAACAAATTTTTGAGTTGTTATGTTAACAATATGGAATATTTCGATTTGTCACATTATGCATGCGTTGCACCTAATGAAATGGAGTAGGTAATATACGAGCATTTGCAGAAAGATTGAAGTAATAGCGACAAGAAGATAGACAGAAATACAAATGTTTAAATTCCAATTTTCAAAAATATATTATAATTCCTTCGGATTAAACATTTGGAAAAATGTGTGTTCGAAAGAATTCCCAAGGATAGATCTAAATTCGAATTCCATTCATTATATAGGTATTTCCTTCTTTCAGAAAATTCACCTATAACTTATTCGTGCTCATAGTCACTTATTCTCTTCCCAAACTATAGCATTTCAACTTTATGCGAATTTTTGATGAAAATTATTGCAATTCAACTCTTTTCGCTGAAACCCGATTGTTTCTTTTCAGAAACTAAAGAAAATTGAGAAACTGACAGAAGAGGAATGATCAGCAACTGAAGGGCACGATTTGGATTTTGTTGAAATGATAGGAACTCAGAGCACATCTTCAACAAATCCAGTCATGGATATTGAATATAATGGGGTCTACTAATGAAGAAAAATACCTATAATACATATTATACGGCAATTTTTTGAGATGTAATGGGGTCTACAAATGAAGAAAAATACCTATATAATACATATTATACGGCAATTTTTTGAGATGTAATATCTTGCTGCTTTTCCGGCGTGACATCTCTGAAAGTTGTCGAATATGACGAATTAAAACTGTAACATGTCGGAACTTTTTCTTGAAAAATTAGGAAAAAATATTCGAAAATATTATAACTAAAAATGTCCCATGTAAGCTCATGAAATAATAATATAATTTGAACTAAATATACTTCTCGCGATGAATGAGGTTCACCAGAGACAAATTCATCATCATTAAGAAGTGAAAATTTTCAAAGTCGATTTTCTCAAAACGCAGGATTTTGAATTATCACCCCATTGTTCTCAACGTGCGACATGTTTTATATATCTTAGTCTGATGTGAGTTGTCTCAAGAACTTATTGAGACTATTTCTTCCCCCTCTCCCCAACTGAGCTTGCTATTCATCTGGTGTTGTAGTGTGAAAAATGTGAGAGTGGAATGATTCTAGTAATTCTGTGGATCTGTGAAAATTGTGAGGTTATATTTTCATTTTGACATGCTTTCAGCTTTGAAGTTTTAGTCCACTGGTTAATTCTTTTGAATACCTATTCACCACAATAATATTATTATGCTCCTCATTAATTTACTTAGCCATTTTACCTTTTGGTTGAATTATGTTGGGTTATGTTTTTCAATTACTTATATAATTTGACTAATCTAACTGAAAAACCCTGTATGTATGACAGGTTTCCTAGTGTTACACGTTGATCGCTATGGAATTCATATTGTTTATAATCAAACAAATGTTCTGTCAGTGTCATTTTATTATTAAAAAAATCGAAATAATGGATATCGATGCAGTTGCGAATGCAGCTTGTGCTGCTCTATTACCTCAGAAATCGAAGGAACGGTACAATCGGTGTTACAAGGACTTCAAGGCTTGGTGCAGTAATATTGCAAGTGGTGAAAGCATTACCGAGAACTCTTTGCTGGCGTACTTTGTAGAGAAGTCACAGACCCTAAAGTCCCCTGCAAGTTTATGGAGTGAGTATTCGATGCTAAAATCGACGTTATCCATTCAAGACAATGTAGACATTTCCAAATTCCTTAAACTAAAGGCGTTTTTCAAGAGAAAAAATGATGGCTATAAGCCAAAAAAGTCTCAAGTTTTCACGCGAGAAGAAATAGAAAAATTTTTGACAGAAGCCGACGATAGAAGTTTTTTATTAATGAAGGTAGTGATGGTCGTCGGGATTGCTGGAGCATGCCGCTCACAAGAATTATGCGATCTGAGTGTAGAGAATGTCCAGGAAATGGAAAATTTAATTATAATCAATATACCTGATTCAAAAAATGGTACATCTAGAAGATTCACCATCACTGCAGACAAAGACAGTAAAATCTGCCATTTAAACATGTTTAAAAGATATCTCAAAATAAGATCGTTGGTTGAAAGATCCCAACAACGCTTTTTTTTGAGATACCAAGAAGGCAAATGCTTGAATCAGCCTGTGGGAAAGAACACTTTTTCAGCTATTCCCACAAAAATAGCAAAATTTCTCAGACTGCCTAACGCTGAAGCTTATACCGGCCATTCGTTTAGAAGAACGTCTGGCACATTATTAGCTAACACTGGTTCAAGTGTTTTAGCTCTTAAAAGACATGGGGGCTGGAAGTCGGAGACGGTTGCTGAAGGTTATGTTGCTGATAGTCTTTGCAATAAGAACGAGGTGGCAAACAAAATTCTTTATAACAAGAATAACAGCGATTCAAATTCATCTGCTATTCATCTGCCTACCACATTGACCAGCGCTGTAACAAGAATTTCTGATAACATAAGCACAACAGTAGAAGTGTCCAAACAGCTGCAAGAGGTTTCCCCACATTTTTCAAACTGTAATTTTTCAAATTGTACTATAAATGTTAATTTAAAATAAAGAGTTCAATTTTTAGGTTAAATTATGAAGTTTATTTAACTTGCTTCCCTAGGGAGGTAAATATTTACTTACCTCCCTAGGGAGGTTGAACGTGTTTTCCTCCCTCAAATCAGTATCAAAATGAAGTACTTACCGAGTAAGGAGTAGAAAAACGTTCTTTTTATTCAATCGACAACTCAGATCCGTCCAACCTCCTTCTAACTCAATTGATCTCGATAGTGAGAATGTAACAAGATAAAAAGAATATTGCTAATATTCGGCGATTGTTACGACAGCTTTACTCGTGTGAATTTGGCACCGGTTTTTTTTTAA